TGTCTTGCTGTGTTTTTCCTTTCGTCGTGGAAGTTTGGTGTTCTTCTTGCTTCTTGTATATCAATTTTCAGCTCCTTCTTCTCATTTGAGAAGTTCTCTTCAATTATATCCATGAATATTTTCTCTGTTCCTACATCTCTCTCCTCTCCTTCTGGAATTCCTATAACTCTTATATTTCCTTTCCTCATGGAGTCAGATAGTTCCCGAAGTCTTTCTTCATTCTTTTTCCTTCGTACTTCTCTTTCCTTTTCTGTTTTGGTTCTTTTTATTTCTGTGTCTTCAAGATTACGTATTCGTTCTTCCATTTCATCTATTCTGCTTTCATTGCTTTTCCCAGAGTTCTTTAGTTCCTCCATTAATTCTTTGATCTCCTGCATTTCTCTTACTTCCCTCTTTAGGGACTCAATTTCCTTCTTCTGATCTATCACTTTTTTAATCATGGCAATTTTAAATTCTCTTTCTGGAAGGCTCAGAAGTTCTTCCAAGTTGCTGTCGTTGCAATCTGGGGAGTGGTTTTCTTTTTGTGGTGTGCTTCTTTCCTGAGGAGTTTTTAGGTTGCGTGTGGTTCTTCTACTCCCTACTGTCTGTTTTCTAATTTGTCGTATGCGTTGGGACACTGTGTTGCTCGGACTGACTGACATCTTGGGTGAACTTCTCCGCTCCCCTCTGGCTCTTCCAGGAGCCATCTCTGTCTTCTGGGGGAGCTTTCTGCTGGTTTTAGGCAGTTTTTACTGAAGAAATGTCCCTGTTCTCAAATGGCGAAGCGGGATGCAGTCCCTGCGCCTCCGGTTTCAGGCACACTCTTCTGCGCCCCCGGTCTGCCCCGGACGTGGGTGCCTGCTCCCTCTGTGGGCTCAGACTGCTGGTCGGAAGGGGCCTGGCGTGGAATAACTTCCCGGCTGGCCACTGCAGAAGCCTTCTGCCCTTTTTAAGCAGTCTTAAGAAATTTCCTGTTCTATGGGGTGTTAGTACTTTTTTTTTTCCTGGTCGCTAGGTGGCGCCAGAGATCTCTCCTATTGTCCTTGGGGGGCTGTTTTTCGTCCCCCCACCCCGTGGGACAGGGAACAGAGCGGGAATGGTAGGGTACACCTCAACAGCTTTGGGGTGCTGTGTCTGCCTTGTGCCCCACCGTCGTGGAGAACCCACGGCCCTAATTTCGTGCCCCGGGTCTCAGTTCAAAGCCCTCAGTTCCAGGACGCGGGCTGTAGCCCAGTTCAGTGGCGCAGGAATGGCGCCTTTTGCACCGCTCCTGTGCCCGGGTGCCTGGTTCCTGCTCACTCAGGGAGGGACCTTCACCTCAGTGAGGACCTCCGCGCGTCTCCCCGCAAGCCTAGGTTGTCTCCCCGCAAGCCTAGGTCGCAGGCGCGGGTACCTGGGCAGCCACGATTCCCGTCTGCACTTGCTTTTCAAGCTCCCCGAGCGCGCCGCGCGCCGCGTTTCCGCGCCAGCTTACCGGCAGCCCGGGCTGTGTGCACGTCTCCCGCGGTCTTTGTTCTTCTCTAATGGCGCCCGGAGCCGTTCCCTCACCGCTGCGGCGGATCCTGCAGGGTTCGCCTCAGCTCCCGTTCACGGGGTGTGGTGGCTGCAATAGTTCCTTTCCACGCACAGTCCCGCTTGCTGCTTCGTTTGTTCTTGTTGGTTGTTTTGGTTTGTTGTTTTTCTCCCTCTCTGCCCGTCGGAGAGTGCCGCCTCTGTGGGTGGGGGAGGGGAGCAGGGTTCTGCGCTTCCCTCCCTTCTAGTCCTCTTTTATGGCCACTTTCTTCTTCGGGTAGTTTGCTGGAGTCACCCGTTTATCTTCCGTGTCCCAGTTCTCACTGGGACCTGCCGCTTTTCCTCCCTATTAACTTTTTTTAATGGGAGATCTTACTCGCAGCGTCTCCTCGCCGCCATGTTGCTCCGCCCCCCCATTCAGTCATTATTAAGAGAACACAGTAAATAAGTAGCAAGCCAGGGGGCCTCCCCGTGGTACAATGGATTAAGCACTGCACTATGAAGCAATCTGCAGCCTCTGCAGCACTAGTTCAATCCTGGCGGGCCAGGGAGCAACCCACATGGCTCAGCAGACCTCTCTTGTCTCATCTGCTTCTCCCTTCAGCAGTGTATTTCAGTCAATCTGCCTGTTCTGTTCCCCACTCTGTCTCTGGTGAATCCTCTCACCCCCTGCACCTCTGGCCTGTACCCCAGCCCTTGTATGCATAAATAAATAAATCATTTTTTAAAAAAATAATTAGCAAGCCAGGAAGTGGGTTTCAGCAACCCTGCATTTGGTCCCTTTGGTGGAGAAACATTGCTCAAGCCTGCTTTTAGGAGCAAATGGTACCTGGCCAGGAAGGTCAGAAACCTGTGCAGAGAAGGATTTGTACACAAACCCCAGGATAAGAGGGAGGGGACAGCTTCTGACTGGTAGAAAGAGAGACTTCTCCCTGACCCACTGGTTGAACAGTCACAGAGGATTTCCAAGATTCTAGGGTGGGCTCGCTTCAGAGCCATTTAACAGCTAGGGAAAGAAAGGACAAATTTCTCTTTTTTTCTCTCACCAACAGGATATGATTTTGCCAAATGAATATTAAGTGAACCATGGTGAGCTGGATCCAGCCAGCTGATACCAAGTTCACAGCTTAATAGAGAAGTTATTTCTCTGTTCTCTGTTCTTCAGGGTGCAAAACTGAGCTGTGAGCATCTTCCACCTGGGATAGTTAGAAAGCCATTACTTAGGATAGAGATTAGCCAGTGAAATGCTGCTGTTGGACTTGAGGCTGCCAGCATTGAACTGCTGGGTGCTCCATCCCCACACGTAGAACAAATAGTCTGTCATGGCGCTCTGGGAACGGAAATTCACAGCCCACCCTGGGCCTGCTTCAGATTGGTGTTCTCTTTTCTCTCTGCCCCTGAGGGCCAGCTCCAGTGACTATTTCCTCCTGCACTGGTATTTTTAATCTCCAAATTATTGTTTACCACTTTAATGGTAAATGAAATTCTTTTTTAGGGGGTATGAAATGATCCGTAAATATTTCACCTTCTCTGGAGCCTCCCCAAGGGAGCCCCTTAGCCTCTCCCCACCAGAGCTGCAGGTGCAAGGGGAAATGCCTTTTTCCATCTCCCCCTGACTCAGGCTCTGCGGCACTGGCTCTCCTTGGCCATCCTCACGAGTTTCTCCTGCGAGGAGCAAGTGGCAGAATACTCTTCCTCACACTTGCAGGGAATCCAGAAGCAGCTTAAAGCCCAGGCCTTGCTTCTGCTGGAGCCCGCAGAGCCTGTCAAGGCTTGGAGCAGGACATCAGACCTCGGGTGCTCCTGGTCTGGTCAGCAGGATTGGGTCAGGGAGGAGGGGGGAGAGCTAACCTGGATCTCATGGAGAGCTTCTTGGTTTCATTTCTACTTCCTCATATCTGGAACGCCTAATTCTCTTGCTTTCTGTTCTCCAAAATACCTTGGTTTTTGAAAATTAAGGATGTGGAGTGTACTTCCCAGAGGCTAAGGGAAATTCTCTTTTTTGACCCGGTGTTAGTTATGTGAGCCTGTTCTTGAGTGAGGTTTTGGGGTCATACACTTGGAATTTGTGCACTTCTGGTCTGTATATTTTACCTCAACAACTATGAAGATTTCATGATTTACTATGAGAGGCCTTATCATTTCATCTGTTACCAAGAAAGAACAAAAGAAATAATGCAAGAAGAGGCTCATCTATTTCAGCCGGAGTGAAAATGGGGATACCAAGGTGAAAGCAGGAGCTCACCCAATCATCTTACTTATTCTAAAGAAGCAAAGATGTTTGTGAATTTTAGTAGAGTTCTACAGTATGGAAAAATTGGAAATGCTGGTTATAGTTAAATAAGTGATGACACCACCAAAAATGAAATGCTATTTTGCCATTAAAATGTTCGGTATGTTGGGCCTCCCTGGTGGCGCAGGCAGTTGAGCGCAGCACTGTGAAGCTGTCCGCAGCCTCTGCAGCGCTGGTTCGACTCCCGGCCGGCCAGGGAGATTCCCACAAGGCATGGCAGACCTCTCCTGTCCTGCTTGCTGTTTCCCTCAGCAATGTGTTTTGGTCATTCTGCCTGCTCTGTCTCTGGTGAATTCTCTCACCCTCCCATGCCTCTGGCCTGTACCCCAGTGCTTGTATAAATAAATAAATCTTAAAAAAAAAAAGTTTGGTATAAATGTTTATTCAAGTCATGTTTATAAGCAAAGTGCAATCCCATTTTTAAAAAAAAACAAAGTATATATTTTACACACAAGTCTAGAAAATAATCAGGAGGAATGTACAGCATAATATTAATAGTGGGTTATACCTGAGGTAAAAGAATTATTGCTGATTATTATTTCCTTGTGGTTTTTTTTTTCCCAGTGAGTTTGTATTTCTCTACGACCCACTAAGACAGGAAATGCAAGTGTAGGGCAGCAGTTTGGGTTCTGAGCCTCTTCCTCTGCTCGTTGAGAGGAGGCCAAGAGTTGCCTGGCAGCGCTTGAACAACTCTGTCTTTCCAAACTGTAAAAAGTCATCCAGGAGCATGTTCAAATATGGTATCTCAAGTTTAGAGATTCAAGAGGGCCTCCGCTCAGTTTCACTAAGCTCAAAGCACATTTGTAAAGGGGTGGTGTCTTCTTTTACATGGGCCGCTCTGCAATGGGAGGGCTGGGGAAGCAATATCATCCACTGAGGGGTTCTACAGAGGCTTTTTTTGAGGTGGAATGATTCCTTTTCCAAGAGTTCACCTACTCCGGTTTATTTGAGGAATTCCCGCTGTCTATATAATTTTATGCTTTATTATGTAAAAGTCTGATACTATTTGGTTACATCACAGAACTCTGGGAAAGGCAGAAGATCTCTTGCCTATTTCATTCCCTCCTCAGAGCTCTGAGCACAGAAAATGTCTATCATAGGTGCTGGAGAAGTTGCTTGTTCACCTGCAGTCTGAGACACAGTGCCCCAAGAGGTCACAGAGGCCTCTGTGAGAAAGATCCCCCACCCAATGCTGTGGAGGACCCCCCCCCCCAGCCTTGCTGTGACCCTGATCAAGCTGCTCCCCAGAGCTGGAACTCGGTCTCTCTTGCAAAATGGGTGGGGTAGAGGTTTGGACTGAGTGGGTGCACAGGCCCCCTCTAGCTCTAGCAGTCTGGTTCTGAGAACATGGCTTGCGGTTGCCCACCTTCACCCTGGTTGATGTGTGCAGAACGGAATGATAGCTCTTGTGGTATATGTAGACATTGTATGGTCTTGTTTTGTGTCAATTAAAGGAAACACATAAAGAAAAGGTAGTCTTCCCACCCCACCCCCATGAAAAAAATAATGAGAATGACACATAAGGAAGGAGGCCGGGAAAAACCAGAAGAGAAGGATAGTTGCTCTCCTCAAAGGAGAGTTCTCAGTTGAAGTCTTGTAGTGGCTGCGGCATGGGGCCTGTCGCCATGTTAGACAAGTCTCTGAGAAGGAATGGGCTTGCCCCCCTGTCTCAGTTGCGGCCTGAAAGAGAGGCAAGCGAGCATCACTGCTACAAGGGGCCATGGCAGGTGCTGCAGCATCCATCCAAGCCCATCCTCACCCCCAACCTCCCAGTCTCTAAAGGCTGGAAGGCTTGTCCCGGGGGGGCCAGCATGGGACTGGGTGAGTGACCTGCCAAGTACCTTATTAATACTCACAACAACCCTGGGGGTAGACACTGAAAATGAGAGCTTAGAGGACATCTCCAAGGTTAACTCTCTAGGTGATGGAGTAACCATCTGAAGCCACTTAATCTAGCTTCTTGAGGACTTTGTCAAGGTCCCCAGGAGGTGGAGAGGAGGCTGATAATTAAAGTTCTCAGTTGACCTGATTTTCAGCCCCAGGAGAGGATCACAGGAGACGGGGAGGATGTGAGCAAACCACCACCATCAGCCAAGTGGAGCTACTTTATCTAAAAGTGCCTTTGACAACCTAAGTGTGATGTTACACTAAGACTGTGCACTTATTCAGCACTGGGCTACCTCCTCCTAAATGTGCTAATTTGCACCCGATCTGCACCCGCTGTCCTCCAAAACCTCTCTGTTGAATCTGCTCTTGACCATCTCTGTGTCTACTAACTAACGCTGCAGAGTCTTCACATATGTTTAATCTGCAGAGTTCTGAATTTCAGGGCAGAGCTTTATTCGCATTCATTTAAAAATGAGGATTTTTAGTGAAGTAAGGGATGATTCTCCTCCCAAAACTTCCAACTGCACCTGTTTTGAAAAGGCTAAAAATCCTGTGTTTAAAGAGTCTTGGCATATCACCTGCATCAAGGCATGGAAATTCTTTACATTGGAAATTCTTTACATTTTTGCTGCTAAAAATAATGATGTATAACATGTATTTGGATTCCTGCAGAAAATATCAAGGACTGTGAAATACAAACCCTTGGTATAAGGTTTGAAATATTTTCATTGACTGAAAGGAACTAGTGAACACAGCTGTTTATCCTTAACACCCCCACCCCCACTCACTCTGCCCCCATCATAGAAGGAGCCTGCAGCTCTGCTCGTCAGGCAAGTCACTAAATGTCCTAAGCTTCGGTTTTCTCATCTGTAAATTGGTTGTCGCAGTAATTAAAGATTGCTGTAAAACTTGAAATTAAAAAAAAAAAACACCAAAAAACTACATATCCTTCCACTGCAGCAGCCATCGCTGTGTGCTACCCAATAGCCATGGTCTCAACAAGGGCCATAAGGTGACCCAAGAACCCAGCAAGCCGAGACATAGCCACTGCTGCAGGCGGGTGCCTCACCAAGGTCTTGGGGAACATGCACGAGGAGGTGTGTGACCTGCCATGGAGTCACTCAAGGTCTCCAAAGACAAGTGGGAAACAAATTCACCAAGAAAAGTTTTAGGTCACAAATTCATGCCAAGAGGAAGAGAAGGCAGTTGAGCAAGGCAGCTGCCAAGATAGGCTGGACCCCTCCCTGTTCCATATGCACACATAAAATCTTTAAAAAATATACATATGGCAAGTCACTGGTATTCTGCCAGCTTTCATCAAAGGGTGGTGGTTTGTATCTGTAATCTGATATCCTGCCCTCTGTGCCTCCCTGTCTGATGTCAGAGCCAGTGATCTATGATGTCATGGTCCATGGTGTCTACCACTGTGTTGCTATAAGGATTAGACATCCTGAGTGCGACCCCACACACACACACATTAGTGTGGGGCTAGCATAGGACTGTTAGATGTGAATATCTAACAAGGTTAGATGCCTCTCCCTAAGTACCCCAGAGAGGAGACTGAGAATGTGGTGACTCTTCCAGATACCTTTTTTCCCCCTGATCCATGAGGATGGTTTTTCCAGAACAATCATAGGCTGGATTGGATGAAGGAGTTACTAGAGCTACCTGACCCTGCCTCTGGTTCCCTTTCTTCCACTCTGCTCCTTGGCAGCAATTCAAGGCCCTGCCAATGCAGGGAAATGAGGGACTGAGCCACTACTTTTTTAGGCGATAAAAGATCATCTTTCTAGGCTAAACAGGGAAAAAAAAAAGTTCTCTTAAGAAAACACCAAAACCTAGCTGGAATCATCCAGATAAAGAGACCTCAGGTCTTTTGAGGAGCTACAACGAATTGGGGGAATCCTTCAGATGGGTTTTTTTGTTATGAGGCCAAATAAAATGGAGATTTACTGAAGTCACATGGCTCCCCCATCAGCCAGGCTGGGCATTCATTTTCTCCACGTGGCCAACCTTCGTCTTCTCTTGTCTCCGGCCCTATGCTGACTTCCACCCCCAGGACTCTGCTGCCATGTCTTTCTCAGGGGAAGGTCCCCAATATTTGTTGCTGGGGAAGCCAGGATCTGTGCCCAGGGCTTATAAGAGACTCACCTGGGACATTTGCAAACACGTTTTCGATTCCCTGAATAAGGAAAAACAGAGGGGGTAAGTTGACTGCTTCCAATACCCTATAGTTCACATGTGGGATTTTTTTCCTCCCCCTTCCCTACTTCTTTAGGATTATAACTCTTGAGACCCCAACTAAGGGCTTCTTTTCCATTCTTCTCATCAATTTAAGAAACACTGCAAATGCAGTTGTGGGTGAAGGTGGGTTAGTGCACCTCCCGCATGGTACCCCAGCAGGGTTTTCTGGAAGGTGACTCTCTCCCTTGGAGGCTTCGACTCAACCCTTCACCCTATGGGGAATGTTCCCAGGCCCACGATGGCCCCCTCTCCCTGGGGGAGTTTGTGATAAGACTGGACCTGTGTGCTTGCTTAGAGCTTCCTCTGCTGCAGCTCCTGGAATAGGGAGCTGTCGTCCTAAAAACCTCCCAGAGAATGGAAAGAGGGGCAGGGAGAATTTTTCTCAGTTTTATCTCTTGGAAAGAAATGGCCTGTACCTAGCCCTGCCGTGCAGCTCAACATCCCATCACCCCACCTCTGCTGCCTGGAGTCAGCAGCTGAAAGGACAGTCGAGGGGCAAATGGTGCCCAGAGTGATTTCCTAGGACTTACTGTTGTTACAGATGATGGCGGCGATCAGTGACAGGAGAAGGAGCCCACAAGCCCCAGCCAGGGGCGCCCAGATGTAGATATCACAGGAGAAGTCCAGCCCCTTTGTATTCACTGAAGAAACCCGAAGAGGCCAACATTCAGGAGCTGATGGGGGATCCCCTCACCCTATCCCGCCAGGCCAGCCCCGTCAGGTCTCCTGGCTCAGGGTCTTACTTGCCCCACCACTAGGAGAGCCCTCCACTCCATGTCCATATTAGAGGTGGCCCTGGCTGGGGCTCTCCCAAGGTCCCTACCGTCCCTGGCTTCCCCCATCCAGGCCCACCTCGTTTCTCACCATGGTCCCCCGCAGACGGCCGGCACCCCTCTGGACGCAGAGTCACGGGTTGAGACGCGTTGGTGGGCGCCTGCGTGGGTGGTGGAGGCCGCACCGTGGTGGTGGTGGGCTTAGCTGCGGGAGCAACAAGAGCGCGCGCTTGGGGACTGGACAGGGCGGCGGACGCGCCTTTGCCCGAGTGGCGGCTTCTGGGCTTTCCATCTGCGCCCGGGGCGGGGGAGACGGGGCGGACACGCAATGGCCTCTCCAGGCGGAGGAAGGCGTCGCGTGCGCCCTGGGCTGTGCAGAGCGCACCCGCGCCTCCCACCCAAAAGCAGATCCATCTCCCCCCACTCACCCCTCCCCCCGGGCTCGACCTGCAAGCTTGTCTCAGGTCCACGTTTTACTGGTAGGAAACCCCGAGGCTCAGAGAATGGAGCCATTCACCCAGGGCCTCACAAGCCCTGGACGTGCCAATCGCATCTAGGCTTCCCGCGGGGCGCTGAGGCTGGAAAGCAGCGCGTGCGTGTGATAAATGGTTTGAGGTGACCCCCAACCCCACGCCGAGCAGTCCCACACCATGGGTCCCGGGCCCGCACCTGGCAGGAAAACCGGCACGAAGGGACTGAAGTGTATTATCGAGTTCTGAATGGCCGCGCAGAAGTAGTAGCCTTGGTCCTTCTCCTGGAAGCGCTTCAGGGTGAGGGTGTAGCGGCTGCTACTGTCCTTTTTGCCGGATATCTGCTCGCGATCCACATCCTCCGCCCACTTGGGCGACATGCCAATGTACATTAGGAAGCGCGGACGGGAGGCGACTCCGCGTGCCTGGAAGAGCCAAGAGCAGCCAGACGGCGCGGACGGCAGCAGCACTTCGCAGCTCAGCTCCACGGTCTCCCCCGGGCTCGGGTGCACCTCCTGCTTCGACATTCGGAACACCTCTGCCGCGGCGGCGTCTGAGGGGGCCGGGCAGGAGACTGAGCCGGGAGTGCCGCGCCCCGCGCGCCCCCACCCTCAGCTTCCCCCAGAAGGGCGAACTCACGGAGCAGCAGGGCCAGGAGCAGGGCGGTGGCCGGGGGTGCCATGGCGCGCGCCCGGGGAGGCGGGTCGGACGCCCGCGGAGCGCTCCGGAGTCGGTGGCACCGGGAGGCTGGGCCCTTGGCGTCCTGGCGGTGGAGCCCGATTTCGGGTTTGAGGATGTGATGTCACTTCAACTGGCGAGAAGAGAGTCCCCTCCTTCCGCGGTTGCCGTCTTCCCATCTACATGGTTTAGGGGATGGGGCCCCTGAGTGGGGGCCCTGGAGCAGCCTTGCCGGGCTGTGGGGGAAGCTGAGATGGGCGGGCTTGAGGAGGAGGGAGACAGACTTGGAAATGACCCCTGGAAATGTCTCCCAGAGAGTGGAGATTTCAAGAAGAGGGGGTGAGAGCCGGCAGGAAAGCAGAGGGGAATGTCCACCTGCTGTGCCTTCACTCAGTGTCTCTAGCATTGTCGCCTGGCTTTTTGTCTGCAAAATGGCATGAGGACTGAGCAGGAAGAGGAGTTGGTGACTTTCCCACTTCTTGGGACCCAGGACAGGGTAGTTGGAGGTGTTCACCCAAGAAAAATCTTCTGTCCTCACTGAGAACTCTTCAGAGGGGCAGCAGCGTCCCAAGCCTGGTAGGGGACAGGCTAACCTCTGCTGACTGCGTGCTTGGGGCCTGCTCCTACTGGCTAAGCCTGAGCACACAGCCTCATTCTTTTTTGGGGACCTTGCAACAACCTCCACCTGTCTCTCCAATGACCCAGTCCTGGAGCTTTCCTGCTGTGATCATTATTCTTGTAAAGGGGGCCTGAGGTGTCACTCCTGCATGCCCCCTAGACCAGCAGGACCAGATGCAAGCTCAACTCTGGCTTGACTCAGAGGCTTTATGTGCTGGCTCCTTCCAGTCTCTGTCCACCCCCTTCCCCGCCTGTACCCCAGCCTGCATCCACACAAGGCTTGAGGTTATCTAAACTCTGGGTTCCTGCTGCTTCTGCGCTCCCTTTGTCTGGATGCCATTCTGTTAACCCAGAGGCCAGCTCTGGTGCCATGGGACTTGGAACTCATTTCTCTGTATTCTCAGCTCTGGGTGCCTAGCAGGGACATGTGCATGGACTGGGTGAATGCTTGGGTAGAGACAGTTTTTCCTCCCCTTCCTTTAAAAATAAAAGATTTATTTATTTTTATGTGTATAAGAACGGTGGTACAGGCCAGAGGTGCAGGGGTGAGAGGATTCACCAGAGACAGAGTGGGGAACAGAACAGGCAGATCTGCTGACATACACTGCTGAGGGGAGCAGAAGGCAAGACAGGAGAGGTCTGCTGGGACATGTGTGTAGCTCCCTGGACAGGGATCGAACTTGTGCTGCAGAGGCTGAGGATAGCCTCACAGTACTGTGCTTACCCGCTTGCGCCACCCTTCACTCCGCTTCCTTTTTGCCTATTGCTGTCCTGAAACCTTCCAGCCCCAGCAGATGCCCTTCTCCTACTTCTTTGAATCATAGTGGGTGTACCTCATGTTGCTGCTTGATTCTAGAGTCACATGGCATTATTAGTTCTAGGTGCCTGCCCCACCGGTGAGTTCCCCCAGGTGAAGACTGTGTCTTAGACTCCCCTCCACCTGCCACGACCCCATCACATCACATCCTGCTGAGCTGTGTTGAAGAGTTGTACCCTGATCCTGAGGTTCAAACTTAAGTGTTGGACTTTTTATTATTACCACTTTGAATTCAATGCTCTTCTTCCTTCAAGGACTCCCAAAGTGCTTATGCTAAGGTGGAATATTTAACATTTTATCTTTTTAAAATTATTTTTATTAATAAATTTTATTTTTATATTCCCCATACAATTGCAACCCCCTTATTTTGATCCTAATCCCTCCCTTCCCCGCCCCCCACCCCTCATAGAGTGTCTCTGGTTCATAGTTGTTGATTTTGATTTTCACTTTCTTATAATTATTCATTTTCCTGGTCCCTTATTTAAGTTTTCTAGATTCCTGCTATGAGTGAGACCATCCGGTGTTTTTCTTTTTCTTTCTGGCTTATTTCGCTGAGCATGATCCCTTCCAGCGCCATCCATGTTGCTGCAAATTGTATGTGTTTATCTTTTTTGAATGCTGAGTAATATTCCATGGTGTATATGTACCACATCTTCTTGATCCAGTCATCTATTTTTGGGCATTTGGGTTGTTTCCAAAGCTTAGCTATTGTAAACAGTGCTGCTATGAACATAGGGGTGCAGGTGCTCTTTGGAACTGATGTTTCTGTGTCCTTTGGGTAAATACCTAGGAGTGGAATTGCTGGATCCTGTGGAAGCTCTATGTTTAGTAGGTCCAGAAATCTCCACACAGCTCTCCATAGTGGTTGGACCAGTTTGCACTCACACCAGCAGTGCAGGAGAGTTCCTTTTTCTTCACACCCTCGCCAACATTTGTTTAACATTTTATCTTTAGAAGTGGTTCTTAAAATATCTTTTAAATGAGTTGTACTTTCTTGAAAAACTTCAGACATTATGAGAATAATAGAATATAGGGAAAGTTCCCTGCCTCAACTCTCCTCACCATTACCACTGTCGCACGGGAATGTGTCCTTCACAAGGTAGCTGTGCACAGAGGTTTATATGTATTTTAGACACATGCAGATATGCTCTGTATATTTTTTTGCAACTTACCTTTTTTATCTAACAGAAGGAAAGCTTTTCATGTCATCACATGTGGCTATTTTAGAGGGGTGCATTTTATATGGGTGTCCCATATTTTAGGTTTCCTATTAATAGACATTTAAGCAGTTTCTCATTTTTTTGTAGTTACTAGCAGGGCTGAAGTACATGCAGTATCTGTACTGTACATGGAACATTTTCAAATGGGAGATGAGGGAGGTTTTCCTTAAAACCCTTTGTAAAAATGGTTATGACCAAAGTACACAGAAATGCATCCCCCGGCATACAGAAGTGTGCATGTGTGTGTTTGCATGTGCCTGTGTGCCAGCCTGTGTAGACACAGTGCTGTCTCTTAATTCACATGAGTGAGGGTGACAAGAAGTAGCCAAGTCCAGATAGGCCACTGATGTGGCAATCATCGTTCCAGACAGCAGTTCCCTGTTCTGCTTTGTCTCTGCTCCCACTGCGGAAGGAGTGGCAAATGACCTTGCTGGCCCTGGGTGCAGTTAGGGGATGTGGTAGAGAGAATGACTGGTTAGGAAAGTATACCTTGCTGGTGGAGGAGCCATTGGAGTGGAACCTGAGCCAACCTGCAGATATCTGGATCTTGGGAATCAGACCCCTGAGTATGATGATGCTCAGATTCTGGGATGCAATGCTTGAAAATAGAGTAGTCCCCCCTCAGTCTCCTGGGAGTGAGCTGCAGCTGGCTTGGAGGTCTTCCAGTCTTGCAGCTAAGAAAAGTGTCACCCATGGGGGTGGCAGCCCTTTTGTACAGATCATGAAAGAGAGTAGAGGGGGGATGCCAAGGCAACATGTCAAACCCACCAAGGAGGCTCTGTGACCCCAATGATGTTTTTCTCAAAAGGTGGTGATTCTCAATGTAACCACAAAGACATCCGCCCTGCAGCAGGCAGGAGAGCAGATGCAATTGCGCAAATTCTGGGGATGCTTGCATGCTTGAGGGCCAGGTGTACAGAAGGCTGGGTGGGGCCTGTCCATCACTGCCAGGTAAGATCCCACACTCCACAGTGTGGTACTCATATGGCATGGCATGAAGAAATGGGAGCAATTGCATGCCATCAAGCAAGCCCTTTGTTTTTAAAATATCCAGATAGACAGGAAAGAAAGAGTAACTAGTTTTCATGTTAGATTTAAACAGGGCTGCCTTTCCCTCAAGGCCTTTGTTCTTAAAACATGGAAATAGGGCCTCCCCGGTGGCGCAGCGGTTGAGCACTGGGTTGCAAAGCTGCCCGCAGCCTCTGTGGCACCAGTTCGATCCCCGGCTGCTCCCCGGCCACCAGAGGAGGGTCCCGCATGACGCGCAGACCTCTCCTGCCGCCCGCTGCTCCCCTCAGCAGTGTACTTCGGTCCTTCTGCCTGCTCTGCTCCCCACTCTGGCTCTGGTGAATTCTCTCACCCTCCCGTGCTTCTGACTGTACCCAGTGCTTGTATAAATAAATAAATAAATAAATAAATCTTTAAAAAAAAAAAAAAAAAAACCATGGAAATAAATACCTTTAATTCAGAGTGCATAAGAGGCAAGGCAGTGGTAGAAAACCAACCAGGGCTCTGTGCCCTAGCTTCTAAGATGCTGACTTCAGGGGCAACCTAGAATCCTGCCCAGAAGTAGCCGGTGTCATTGTTCACTTGGACTATTGCAATGGTGTCCTAACGTTTTCAATGTGACTGGTGCTCCTAGTCTCTTACAGTGAGAATCTCATCCTGCCAACATGCAGCTTCATCTCATGAGGGCATCCCAGGGTCCTAATGTTGGTCCCAAGTACCAGCACTGGGTAATCTGGAATTTCGCCCTCCACACTTGGCCTTGTGGCCCCATGCCCTTCCTCTCCTGCCTGTCTTTCACTCCTCTTAGGCTTGGCTTCTCTCTGTTTTTCAAAGGGGCTCTGCTCCTTTCCTCCTCTGTTCCCTATTTAGTAAACTCCTCTTCTTCAAGACTCAGCTCAAGTATCTCATTGTTCAGAGCTCAGTCCCTTGCCCAGTCCCGCCCCCAGGCGGTATAGACATCTTCCTTTTTGGAGTCATTTAGACCTTGGACTTCTCTGGACTGGAACATTTATTCTGTACAGCAATGATTTGTTTGCTCATCCAGTTTGATGACCCAACCTTTGGTCCCTTGAGGAAGCGACCTTGTCTGGCTCCTGTTTATACTGGGGAGTCTAACAGAAGGTGTCACACACTTGGCCTTCAAGAAATCCTTGTTTAGGGCCTCCCCGGTGGCGCAGCGGTTGAGCGCTGGGTTGTGAAGCTGCCCGCTGCCTCTGCAGCACCAGTTCAATCCCCGGCTACTCCCTGGCCACCGGAGGAGGGTCCCACATGGTGCGCAGACCTCTCCTGCCGCCCGCTGCTCCCCTCAGCAGTGTACTTCGGTCCTTCTGCCTGCTCTGC